CTGAGACTTCAAAAGTTAACTCCGTTCTTTCCTTCTAAAACATTATACTCTATTTATTTTCTTCTCTTTTCTCTTACTAGTTATAAATCGTTTCTTTCCTCCCATGAGAAAACGTTTACACCTTTTTATGTGCAAATCTTGTATATGAGCCTCCTGTTACTGTTGCTGCCAGATGAACCTTCCAAAAAGTAAAGCTTCATCTCTGCATCAGAAATCTTAGATTGCACCCTGGCTGTTGTGACTCAGTGGATTGAGCACAGGCCTGCAAACCAAAGGATTGCAGTTTGATTCCCAGTCAGGGCACATGCCTGGGTTGCAGGCCAGTTCCCAGCAGGGGATGCATGAGAGGCAACCATACATTGATATTTGTCTCCCTCTCTCCTTCCCTTCCCCTCTAAAGATAAATAAATAAAATCCTTAAAAAAAGAAATTTTAGATTGGCCCATCTACTTTCAGGATAAAGTTTAACTTGTGCTAACACTTAGAGACCCTCTCTGTCATTCAGCAAATATGTATTGAACATCTACTGTGTGCTGAGCACATTCTCACAAAGGTAACTTAGGGACTTCATGAGGTTTGCTCACCTTTTCTTTAACAAAGATCCTCTCCTGTAAGCAGCACTGGTCTCCCCTGCCCTCTCATGACCTCTTCTTCATTTCTGGCACAATTTCCCGTTTGACAGGCTCTTTCCTCACTCAGACTATTTAAACTTTACCCCCAATCCACCCAGTGAAGCAGCTGAGGTCCCATCACCCTCAGCCTCCCTCCCTGACTGGAAGCCCCTGAGGTCATCTTCTTTGTTCACCCCCATTAAATGATGTGCATGCCTTATCCCAAAGATTCAAAGTGTAGAGGGAACTATTTTATCTAAAAAAGAGAGAAAAAGAGTCCTGTTATATGCTATATAAATATTATTAATGTATATGATACATTATGCCTTGTACCCTCTAAATATTACCCAAATAATTACCAATAGAAAAAGCAGAAACCTAAATTTTCCCTGTACTGAAATTTGATATTTAGCATTACCTGGTTGGAATGTTAATTTTGAGACTAGTAAGCATTTTAAAGACTGGGGATATGGGTTTTAACGTCGGTGCTCATGTAATGAGCGGGCCAAGGAAGGGCAGAATAATTTACTGTATATTTTGGGAGGGATCACTTCAAAAGGCGTTTACTAACGAGAAGTTTGAGATTGCTCAGTGAGGCTGTGACTTGTCTGGAATTGCGCAGTAGGTCAATGGCAGAGCCACCACTAAACCAACATGTCCCTACATATTTTCAGGAGGCCGGCAATGCTGTCTTGACTAGCAGCTTTTTCTTTAGAAGATAGTATAGTCCATGAGGCTCAGTTCATTCTTTTGTCTTTTTTCAAGCTGACACTCTAGTGATTTTTTTCCTCCCAGGATAGTGTACCCTATTCAATAATTTCTTTTAAAAATTGGCCTCTCTTTAGAAGTACTCACAGTTTTAAACTAGGCGAAGGCTCTAGAAACCACTCCTCTAGGAAGCCTTCCATGATGCCCCCACCTTTAGTTAGGGACCCCTTTTCTTGCTCCACTCACACTTGGTGCATGCAATTACTACAGTGATTTGCAGTATTTCCTCCAAGAAATTGTAGAAATAGGTAGTGTTTATGAAAAATGTGCCTCAACCAAATAGGTAGATTATGTCATTGAAAAGAAATTCATGAGAGTTACCACATTTTTGCTCTGAAGGCCCCCTTCTATTTTTTAATGATAAGCTAGCTATTAAAATATATATTAGCATTTGGATACTCCTTGCCTCTTCATATAACACATCAACTCTTCAAAGAGATGAAGAATGAATATAGTCTTGCTAGAAGTTAAAATATGGAATAAGGGCACACGCATTCCAACTTAATGATTCACACATTTTATTGTAGCTGTTTCTGCCTCTACAGCTTTAAGCACACTTTCAAACTGAATGTCTCTACTTCATCTTCCCTTGTTTGATATTACTCACAAAAGCTGCCACTCCCTTTCACTCTCTTCTGCTACAAAATGAAGCTGAAATAACAGAAAATTCAAGATAAAATTCATGTGTATTAGTCAGGATAAACTAAGTTATGCTGCAGTAACAAACCCCACAATAATCTCAATGGTTAACATGACAAGGTTTACCTTTCACTCATGGGAAGAGCCCTGAGAGTCCAGGACAGCTGCCCTCCGTGTGGTGATCCAGCATTCCAGGCTGCTTCAGTCTCCCAGCACCCCTGTCTCAACACATGCTTCTACCATGGCTGTGGTGGGGATGGGAGCCCGGAGAACTGTACCTTGGCTTTTCAATGTTCCTGGCTGGACTTCTTGGAAAAGTAATTAATAACAGGGTTGGGGCAGGAGAATACAAAATTGGCCTAGAGCCTCTTATAGGCCAGAAAATAAGGCAGTATTGCAAAAATGACAGGGCTTGTCAAAAGAACACAGGAGCCAACCTGAATGGACAAAGCTGGAACAATTTTAGCAACAAAACAAATAATGATAGCATTGGATTTTGACCTACAGAATAAATATTTGTGCATCCACAATGAAATAAATAAATAAATTAGTTAAACAAGTGGGGGAGAAGAGACAGCACTTTCTTTTTTAATATATTTTATTGATTATGTCATTACAGTTCTATTTCCCCCCTTCATTCCCCTCCACCCTGCACACCCCGCCCCCACCATTCCCCCCTTTAGTTTATGACCACGTGTCTCAAGTTCTTTAGATTCTATATTTCCCATACTATTCTTGCCCTCCCTCCTATCTATTTTCTACCTACCATCTATGCTACTTATTTTCTATACCTTCTCCCTCCTTCTCCTTCTCCCACTCCCCTGTTGCTAACCCTCCATGTGATCTTCATTTCTATGGTTTTGCTCCTGATCTAGCTGTCCTCTTTGTTTTTGTTTTAGGTGTGGTTCTTAGTAACTGTGAGTTTGCTGTCCTTTCACTGTTCATCTTTTTTATCTTCTTTTTCTTAGGTAAGTCCCTTTAACATTTCATATAATAAGGGCTGGGTGATGATGAACTCCTTGAACTTGACCTTATCTGAGAAGCACTTTATCTGTCCTTCCATTCTAAATGAAAGCTTTGCTGGATAGAGCAATCTTGGATGTAGGTCTTTGGATTTCATGACTTGGAATACCTCTTTCCAGCCCCTTCTTGCCTGTAAGGTCTCTTTTGAGAAATCAGCTGACAGTCTGATGGGAACTCCTTTGTAAGTGACTGTCCCCTTATCTCTTGCTGCTTCTAGAATTCTCTCCATTTTAATTTTGGCTAATGTAATGATGATGTGCCTTAGTGTGTTCCTTCTTGGGTCCAACTTCTTTGGGACTCTCTGAGCTTCCTGGATTTCCTGAAAGTCTATTTCCTTTGCCAGATTGGGGAAATTCTCCTTTATTATTTGTTCAAATAAGTTTTCCACTCATGGGTGTTCCTCTTCCCCTTCTGGTACCCCTATAATTCAGATGTTGGAATGTTTAAAGATGTCCTGGAGGTTCCTAAGCCTCTCCTCATTGTTTTGAATTCTTGTTTCTTTATCCTTTTCTATTTGGTCATTTTTTCCCTCTTTCTGGTCCACTCCTTTGATTTGAGTCCCAATTTCATTTTCATGACTATTGGTTTCCTGTGCATTTCCATTCATTTCAATTAGTTTAACCTTCATATGTTCCTCTAATTTGTGACTATAATCAACCAGTTCTGTGAGCATCCTGATCACCAGTGTTTTGAACTGTGCATCTGAAAGTTTGGCTATTTCTTTATCGCTTAGATTTATTGGCTCTGGGGCTCTGAGTTGTTCTTGAGCCATGTTTTGATCTGTTTGTGCTTGTTATGTACAAGGAGGTGTTCACCAGGACAAGGCCACCCAGGTCGCTGGTCTGTGATACTGTATGTGGGGGCGGGGTCAGAGCGCCACTAGGGTCTGCATGGTCTTTCTCACTGCTTCGCTCCTTCACCAGTTTATCTGAGCTCAACTGTGTGACTTTGGTCAGCCCTCAATGAGTCCACTGACTTGCTCCCTCAGTGGGTCCGCCCGCTACTCTACACCTGGGATCCGCCTATAGCTGCCTGTGGGCCTGGGTTGCACACCCCGGTCAGTCTGGTGGATCTTTCCTGCCCGACCCTGCTCTGCTGCTGGCTCTATTCCTCTTACCGGTTTGGCTGAAGGGTTCGTTGTTGTCAGACTTCCGTGTAGTTCAATTTTCTGTTGTTTGGCCGTGTTTTTGTTGCTAAAACTTTATTGTTTTTAAATTTGGTTGTGTGGGAAGGCGCAGTGCTGCCACCTACACCTCCATCTTGGTGGAAGTCCTCGAGACAGCACTTTCTTACAGGAGAATTTCAGTTAAGGTACATGGAAGGAAAAAAGAAAATAAAAAATCACCATTAAGCAAATACCAGAGTAATAATCATGGTAAACAAGATCCACTAATAGATGCAAACATTTATGGGCAAAATCTGAGGAGAAATAGGGTATTTCTATAGACTTGAAGTATTTCTTCCAGCATGGTTATTAATTACAAATGGGAAGATAATTTTACAGTACAGATTCCACTGTACCTGAGTGATCCAGATAAACATCCCCAGTGTATAAGACATCAACATCATGAGCCTCTTGATATTATGCACAAAAAAAGACAGAATTTTCCTGTCCTGAGAGATAAGGAAAACCCAAGAAACATCAGATTGGAAAAGATTAAGAAGTAACAATTAATTGCAATGTGGGGAACTGGATAGGATTTTAGAAGAGAAAAGGGACAGTGGAAAAACTGGTGAAATTAGAATAAGGTCTGTAATTTAGTCATCATTGGTTCTAATCATTAGATTGTGGTTATGTAAGATGTTACCATTAGGGGAAACTGGGTGAGGAATTAAAGTTAGTTCAAAATAAAACAAAAAAAACTATAAAGAGTTGAATAAAACACATAAGGCACACCAAAACAAGTATTCTGATAACGTGAACTATTCTTCGGTTCTTCCTATTGCAATTGCCTGCAGCGGAGAGACTTTCAAGGAGCTGGCTGGATGTTCGTCACATTGAAAAATATGTCGACCAAGGTAAAAGTGGAACGAGAGAACTACTTTGGTCCTGGGCACAGAAAAACAAGACCATTGGTGACCTTCTACAGATTCTTCAGGAGATGGGACATCATCGAGCTATCCATTTAATTGCAAATTATGGTAAACACTGACTTTTATTATATGGCTCTTGGTCCATTTTGTAGGAATTGTACTTTGTAAATGTACATACTGCATTTTATCCAAAACAATGACTGATCATGCTATATGTTACTGATTTCTTACCAGAGGCATTTATCTGAAGTGGGACTTACAGCTTCATAGTTTTTTTAGTGACAGTTCCTCCTCTTACTACCTAATTTATGCAACACATTCCTTTCTACCACTTTGTAGTTTGAGGTTTTTTAAAATTCTTTCTTACTTACAAACTACACTTTTTGAAATGTTATATTCTTAGCAATGCAGATTAACTCTCTGCCCCAAACTCTAAAACTCTTTGAATCATAAACATAATTAGAATTGCGATATGAATACAATATAGATAATGCTAGAATTTGTTTCATCATACAATTAGAAGTTAAAAATATAATTGGGTTTCTACCCCCATATTTTAGTGCAATTGATATACCTCCAGAATATCTCTGGGATTTATTTTATCTGCCCTGTTCTTTTTATGCCATGGCCTCTAACTCCACCTTGACCTTTTTACTGTTCATGTCACAGTAAAAGGTCTTCTTTCTGTCTTGTCTGTTTTCTCATGCTGTGTCACACTTTACATTTAGAGTAACGTGATAGGTAAAGTGCATGTCAATAAAATAATCTCCTAATGTCACCTGCTTTGTTTACTCCACTTCAGATTTATTCACTTCAACAATGATCTTGAGTGATTTGGGGTCTTACAGACTCCTAAGTTGGAAACTTTTGAATCAGTGTTCTTATTATTTGTTTTTTTCATTCAGGAATAATTTTCTTTCCATATATTTGCACATATACTCTTTGATAATATGCTTCATGCACTTGAGCCTCTGTCTTATCACTCAAAGAAATTTTGTGCACACAAAGAGAAAATCCTGAGAGATTTGTACCAGAAAACTGTAGCTTTAGACTGACTTTATGTTGTAGGTTTTCCATGTTGATGGGATATTAGACGGGTCCCAATAGGCTTCCATCATTATATTATCTATATAACTTGGCTAACCCCTGTTTGTCTTTTGTACACTATTTCTTCACTTAGTTTCATAAAGCAGAGTGCTTCACTATGAAGCTGACTGATAAATTAAAATGCAGTGAGTCCCTGCATTTCAAACTTTTGAATTTCAACTGAAATTCAAAGCTGTATCATTATTTGAGCCTTTTCCAGCCAATGAAACCACCCACACAACTTGCTGTTCACAGTATAAACTCATGCCATTTTGATAGGACACTTGGGTATGTTTTATATGTCAGTGTTCTGAAATACATTTCAAGGTATTTTTCACTGTCTATGTTGTTTATTTATGCAGCAGATCATGTTGACTGTGAGTAGACAATAATTTAATATTGTCAGTTGACTCCTAGTCTGTTGCACATGCAATATCTATCGATTTTATTTTTTTAAATGGGAGATTAGCTGATTGGTGGAAAGACAATTATTTACTGTCCTAGTACCAGAAGATAGGTAAATCTGAGGTGAAGTGTAGGATAGCACCTTGCTTGGAGTCCTTTACTGAGGAACATAGGACTAGTTAACTGCAATTTATTGAATAGATTCTTTGAATTATCTTTAAAAACATTAATTGTATATAGTTTGTTAAAAGCAGCAATGCGATGATTCACTGGAAATGTTAAGTGTAGCCTGATGAACAGATGTCTCCTATGATAGCTACTCACCAACCTAGGAATTAAGACCAAAGATTTAGTCTTTCTTTGTTGCTACTATGCACAAAGTTATCAGTTATGCAAATAACTCATTATCCATCTAGATATCCATTTTTGTCTACCTTAAAATTGTTCAGTTTGGTGAGCTGATTTTCATTTTAGAGAAATTTCTTACCTTTTATTTGCTAACCTCCGGACATCACTTTATAGACTTGGATTTTCTTATGAGTTCTACTGAGAAAGGCCTTGTATTTCTTGCTAATCATCATCATTCCTGCAATTCAGCTGGCTCATGGGTGTTTTCTTCACATCCATAAAAAATTCCCTCAAATCTCAGGACATAACCAAGTCATTCAAGAAACTAAAATCTTTACTTGCTGCCATTATATTTCTAGCATGCATGTCTTTACATATCACATTTCACATTTGTATTTCAGTGATCAGCAACTGTGTTTTAGTTTTGACATGAAATCTGCAGCTTTCTGCTGGCTTCATTTCGAGTCTGCCATTTTATATGACAATGAAGTATTCCCTCTCTTTTTTGAGCAACAAAAGAACAAATGACTTTAGTGCCCTTACAACCCTCAAAAACTTCAAATTTTGTTCCACGTAACAAGACTTGTTTAGGATTTTTTTCATGCCTAATTGCACTGATTAGAATCTCTAGTATATTGCTGAATAGAGGTGACAAGACCAGACATCCGTTACTTGTTCTGATCTACAAGGGAAAAATATTCAGTCTTTTACAGTTATGTGTGATGTTATCTCTAGGCTTTTCACAGATGTTCTTTATCAAGTGAAGGAAATTCTCTTTTATTCCTATGGTTTTTATTCTGGTAGGTTATTTGATTTTACAGATTTTGTTTTTTCATTCTATTAATGTGGTATATTTCACTGCTTGATTTTTACATATTAAGTCAATATTGGATTTCTGGGATGAATCCCACTTTGCCGTTGTATATAACCCTTCTTATGTGTTTCTGGATTTAGTTTGCTAATATTTTTAAGGATTTTTGCAATTTTATATATATATATAAAGGATATCGATCTTTAGTTTTCTTGTCATTTTTTTCTGGCATTGGTATTAAAAATATTGGCCTCAGAATGATTTGGGAGTTGTTACCTTTTCTTCTGTATTGGAAGAAGTTGTGAAGGACTGATGTTAAATCTTTTTAAATTATAGGTAGTATTCACTTGTGAATTCATCTGTATCTGGACTTTGTGGGAAGTCTTGAAATATTAATTCAATCTTTCTTTGTTATAGGCTCATTTTTCAGTGTGATATTTATTTCTTCTTGAGTTAGTTTTAGTAATTTGTGTTTTTCTAAAAATCTGTTTCTATCATCTAAGTAATCTAGTTTTTTACATATAGTCCTTTTTAATTGAATTAGTTGGAGTCATACTGGTTAACAAAATATACAGGCTTTGGGTACACAATTCCACAACCCCTCATCTGTACACTATATTATGTGTTCACCAGCCCAAGTCAAGTCTCCTTCCATCAGCATTTACCCCCACTAAAAACTCCTCCATATTCCTCAGTCCCCCACTTCTTAGGAATCACCACACTGTTGTTCATGTCCATGAGTTTTTTTCTCTCTTTTTTTGTTTTTGCTCAGTCTCCCACCCTCCTCCGCCCAGGCCCCTACCCCTACTCCCCAACAGCTGTCAGTCTGCTCTCTATGAGTCTGTCTCTTATTTTGCATGTTAGTTCATGTTATTCATTAGATTCCACATATGAGTGAGATCATACAGTATTTGTTTTTCTCTGACTGGCTTATTTCACTTGGCATAATGCTCTCCAGTTACTTACAGTTGTTCTATATTCCATTATAATTCTTTTTATTTCTGGAAGGTTGGTAGTTAGGGTTCCTTTTTGTTTTTGCTTTGGTTTTGATTTTAGTAATTTTAGTCTTTCCTCTTTCTGGATGAATTAAATAAGGGGTTGCCAATTTTGTGATCTTTTCAAAGAAAATACTTTAGTTTCATTGATTTGTCTTTTTTCTATTCTTTATTTCATTAATTCCACTTTAATCTTAATTCTTTCCTTCTGCTTCCTTCAGTTTAGTTTACTCTTCTTTTTCTCGCTTCTTAAAGTGTAAGTTTTGGTTACGTCAGACATTTCTTCTTTTATTAATGTAGGCATGTACAGCTATAAATTTCACTTTAAGCATAGCTTGCACTAGATTAAGTTTTGATATGTTTTCATTTTCTTTTTTAAAAGAATTTATTTATTTGTTTTTAGAGAGAGGGGAAGGGGAGGAGAAGGAGAGGGAGGAAAACATCCATTGGTTGCCTCATGTGGGTGTCCCCATTTGGGGACCAAACCTACAGCCAGGAATCCAAGTGGTGACCTTGCACGTTTCAGAGCTATGCTCAGCCGTCTGAGATACATCAGTAGGGGTGTTTTCATTTTCATTCATTTTCAAAGTGTCCTCTAATTTCCCTGGGATTTTTTAACTTATTTTTTATTTATGAGTTTGTTTACATGTATTGTCAATATGCTAATTTCCCTAAGTTTTCTTTTATTACTGATTTCTACTTTAATTCCATTGTGGTCAGAGAATAGGCTTTGTATGATTTTAACCCCTCTAAATTTATTGAGGCTCATTTTATTGCCTAACATATGGTCTATTCTGGAGAATATTCAATGTGCACTTGTGAAGTATGTGCATATTCTGTTTGTGGATTTAATGTTCTATAGATGTCTGTTAGGTCTATAATGTTTGGTTTATAGTATTGTTCAAAGACATTTGTTAAAAATTTATTGTGTTTCATTGCCAGTCTTATAAGCAAATAATTTAAGAAACACTATAACACAATCTAAGAAAAATTTGAAGATGGAATTAAAATTTTCTAAAGTCTGAATGAAAATGTGACAAATGACTACAAAATACTGAAGGGTTTTCATCTTTTGTAGCAAGCCATGTAGACTACCTTAGTTCAGCAGAACTGTAATAGAGAGAAGTTAAATTCTAAAATTGGTGAGTGGGAAGGAGAAACAAGGAGCTTCCTGGGCAAGAAAAAGCTAAAAGAATTTGTTAACATCAAACCAATATGGCAGCAAATATGAAAGGGCTTGCTTTAAGAAGAAGAGAAAGAGGAAAAAACCAGAGGAAAACAGTCTAACAATAAAATGGCACTACATATATATCTATCAATAATCACCTCAAATGTAAATGGCTTAAATGCTCCAACCAAAGACATAGGATAGCCAAATGGATAAGAAAACAAGACCCATATATATGCTGCCTTCAAAGAGACCCATCTCAGGTTGAAAGATACACATAGACTAAAAGACTAAAAGGAATGGAAAAAGTCATTTCATGCAAATGTAAAAGAAAAAAGCTGGGATAGCAGAACTTATATCTGACAAAATAGAATTTATTTATTTATTTTATTTTTAAAAAGATTTTATTCATTTATCTTTAGAGGGGAAGGTAAGGAGAGAGGGAGAGAAATATCAATGTATGGTTGCCTGTCATGTGTCCCCTGCTGGGAACTGGCCTGCAACCCAGGCATGTGCCCTGACTGGGAATCTAACCGTATCATCTGGTTCGAAGGCCTGCACTCCATCCACTGAGCTACACGAGCCAGGACAAAACAGATTTTAAAACCAAGGCTATATGTAGTAAAACACAAAGAAGAACTCTACATAATGATAAAGGGAACTATCCAAAAAATATATAACCTTAGTAAACATGTACAGACCCAACATAGGAGCACCTAAATATGTAAAGCAAATCTTGATGGACATAACATGAAGGACTGACAGAAATATACTCATAGTCAAGGGTTTTAACACACCATTGACTTCAATGGATAGATCTTCCAGGCAGAAAATCAACAAGGAGATAGCAACCTTAAATGTCACACTAGATCAAAAAGTTTAGATTAATTGATAGCAACCTTAAATGTCACACTAGAGTAATTGATATCTTCAGAGGATTTCACCCCAAAACAGCAGAATATACATATGTTTCAAGTACACATGGACCATTTTCTAGGATTGACCACATGTTAAAACATAAGTCTCAATAAATTTAAGAAGATTGAAATCATACAAGCATCTTCTCTGATCACAATGCTATGAAACTAGAAATCAATCACAAGAATACTGAAAAACACATAAAGACATGAAAACTAAATAACACATTATTAAACAATAAATGGGTCAACAATGAGGTTAAGAAAGAAATCAAAAGATACATTGAAAGAAATGAAAATGAGGACACAACAATCCAAAATTTGTGGGATGCAATGAGTGAACCCTGAGAGGGAGATTCATAGCATTTGAGGCCTATCTCAAAAAAAAAGAAAGAAAATGGTCAAATAAACAATATAATTTCAAACTTAAAGGAACTTGAAAAAGAAAACAAAGCCCAAAGTAAGTAGAAGAAAGGCAATAATAAAGAGCAGAGTAGAAATGAATGAAATAGAGCCTGAAAAAATAACACAATAGATCAATGAATCCAAGAGCTGGCTCTTTGAAAAGATAGACAAGACTGACAAACCTTTACCCAGACCCATCAAGAAAAAAAGAGAAAGGATCCAAATAAATAAAATCAGAAATGAAAGAGAAAAAATAATAACACCACCAAGGAAATACATAAGATTGTAAGAAAATATTATGAAGAACTATCTACCAACAAACTAAAGATCCTGGATGAAATGGATAAATTCCTAGAAACATTTAATCTTCTAAAACTAAGTCAGGAAGAATCAAAGATTCTGAATAGACAGATTACACCTACAGAAATTGAAGCAGTAATCAAAAAACTCTGAACAAACGAAAGCCCTGGGCCGGATGGCTTTACAGGAGAATTTCATCAAACATTCTGAGAAGAACTAACACCTCTGTTCCTCAAACTATTTCTTAAAATTCAAGAGCAAGGAAGGCCCCCAAGCTTATTTTGTGAGGCCAGAGTTATCCTAATTGTAAAACCAGATAAAGACACTACAAAGAAAGAAAATTATAAACAAATATCCCTGATGAACATAGATGCTAAAATCCTCAACAAAGTATTAGCAAACCAAATACAGCAATGCATCAAAAAGATCACACACCACAATCAAGTGGGATTTATTCCATGGATAGAAGTTTGGTACAACATTTACAAATCAATAAATGTGATTCGCCACATAAAAAAATGAAGGCTAAAAACCACACGATCATATCAATAGAGCAGAACAGGCATTTTGATAAAATCCAGCATCCATTTATGATAAAAACTCTCAGCAAAGTGGGATTATAGGGAACATACCTAAATATAATAAAGGCCACATATGACACACCCACTGCCAGCATCAATGGATAAAAACTACGAGTTTTCCCCTTAAGACTGGGAACAAGACAGAGAATTCCACTTTCACCTCTCTTATGCAACATAGCATTAGAAGTCCTAGCCACAGCAATCAGATAAGAAGGAGAAATAAAAGGCATCCATATTTGAAAGGATGTAGTAAAACTGTCTTTATTTGCAGGTGACATGATTCTGTACATTGAAAACGCCAAGGATTCCACCATGAAACTCCTATAACTGATCATTGAATTCATCAAATTAGCAGGATACAAAATTAATATAGAGAAGTCAGTTGCATGTTTATATGCCAATAATAAACTAATAGAAATGGAAATCAAGAAAACAATCCCCTTCACAATAGCTTCAAAGAGAATAAAATTCCTAGAAATAAACTTAACAAAGAATGTAAAGGACTGGTACTCAGAAAATTATAAGACACTGAAGAAAGAAATTGAACTCAGTCAGGGCACATGCCTGGGTTGCAGGCCAGTTCCCAGCAGGGGACACACGAGAGGCAACCATACACTGATATTTCTCTTCCTCTCTCCTTCCCTTCCCCTCTAAAGATAAATAAATAAAATATTAAAAAAAACAAAAATTGAAGAAGATACAAATAAGTGGAAGGAAGTACATACTGTGCTCCTGGATAAGAAAAATTAACATCTTTAAAATATGCATACTACCCAAAGCGATCTGTAGATTCGATACAATTCCTATGAAGATTCCACTGACATATTTCACAGAACTGGAACAAATATTTCAAAAATTTGTATGGAACCACAAAGGCCCTGCATAGCAACAGCAATCCTGAGAAAGAAGAACATTGTTGAAGGAATCATGCTACCTATTATCAAATTATACTATAAGGCCATAGTATTCAAAACAGTCTGGTACTGGCATAAAAACAGACACATAGATCAATAGAACAGAATAGAGAGCCCAAAAATAAACCCACACCTTCATAGGCAATTAATATTTGACAGAGGAAGCAAGCACATGCAGTGAGCTAAAGATATTTTATTTAATAAATGGTGTTGGGAAAATTGGACAGATGTACATAAAAATGAAACTAGACCACCTTCTTACACCACACACAAGAATAAATTTTAAATGTATCAAATGTTACATTAAATGTTAGACCTGAAACCATAAAAATCCTAGAAGAAAACATAGGCAGCAAAATCTCAGACATTTTTAATGGATATATCTCCCCATGCAAGAGAAACAAAAGAAAAATAAATGGGACTACATCAAACTAAGAAGTACTGTACAGCAAAGGAAATTGTCAAAACAAAATAAAAAGACAACCCACAGAATGGGAGAACATATTTGCTAATACATCTGCTAAGGGGTTAATATCCAAAATTTACAAAGTACTTACAAAACTCAACAGCAAAAAAGCAAACAAACCAATTACAAAATTGGCAAAGCACCTGCATAGACACTTCTCCAAAGAGATCATACAGATGGCTAATAGACATATGAAAAGATACTCAACATTACTAATCATCAAAGAAATGCAAATCAAAACCACAGTGAGATACCATCTCACACCTGTTAGGATGGCCAACATCAATAAATCAACAAACAACAGGTGCTGGTGAGGAGGATGCGTAAAAAAAGGAACCTAGTGCACTGTTGGCGGGAATGCAAACTGGTACAGCCACTGTGGCAAGCAGTACAGAGATACCTCATAAAATTGAAATGGGACTTCATTTGACTCAGCAAAACCACTTCTTGGAATATATCCAAAGGAACCTGAAACACTAATTCAAAATAATATAAGCACCCCTATCTATCTTCATTGCAGTATTATTTACAATCACCAAGAAATGGAAGTAGCCTAAGTGTCCATCAGTAGATGAATGGATAAAACAACAATGGGACATTTACACAATGGAATACTACTCGGCCATGAAGAAGAAGAAACTTTTACTCTTTGCAACAGTATGGATGGACCTGGAGAATATTATGCTAAGTGAAATAAGCCAGTCAGAGAAAGACAAGTACCATGTGATTTCACGCCTATGTGGAATATAGTGAACAAACTGTGCTAACAAGGAAAATGAGGACAGACTCCTAGATGAAGAGCAGATGACAGCTAGCGGGAGGGGTGGGGAAGTTAGTGGATGGAGGGATTTAGCAAAATGGAAAAGGACTCATGGAGATCAACAGCAGTGTGGTTGATTGCTGCTGGTAGGAAGGAGATGTAACAGACAAAAATGTAATGTAAAAAATATACAATAAAGATTAAATTAAAAATAAATAAAATGAAATTGGGCAGTGCTGGTAGATGTTTAGTGGTTAACTTACACACAAATATGCACACACATACACACCTCTAACACCTTGTAGCACAAGGTAGGATATAAAATAAACTAACTCAAGGAAATACAACTCCATTATTGAAAAAAAATTTTAAATATATGCAAAAGATAACAATGTTCCTTTTTCCTTTCAATTTTTTACTTTATACTATAGTATCTTTAATAATGTCTAACAATAAGGTAGATATTTATGTTTTAAGTGAACCAAAGTATGTTTGTATAATATTTGATCATTAGAATGCTATTCAGACACAAATTTGTAAGTATTCAATGGGAATAAAACTGAGCTTTAGAAATGAACATTACTATCAAAGTGTTTATATACACAGTCTAAGAAAGGACCAAAGCCAAGTTTATTAGAAACATAATTTTGTTGTTTTATCTAGCACCCCTTCTTTCTTTCAGGAGCAGTTTTGAATCCCTCAGAACCGAGACATCAGGGAGATGGATTTCCAAACATGTTCTCCAAGGTAGAGTGTGTATGCACAGATAATGGCCCTTGAACTCTGTTGCATATGTAATTGAGCATAGCAATGAAATTATCAGACATAAAAATGCTGGACTTACCAGGTGCTAATTTAAAAACAGAAAAACCTTAGCTCTCTTGCCATCTATTCTTTGCTCATTTGAGGGTTCAGAAAATTAGAGATTCATAAATGTTTGAAGAGTTAAGAGCTTTCTGCTCCCAGTGATCTGTTAGAGATGAGACTTAGAACTAGTAAGGGTACTGTGAGTTATGCATTTGTCTTAACTCAGCTTTTCATTTTCCTGTTCTAACTGGTGTTTTGCATATTGCTGTTAGTTTTTATTAAAGCAAATGAGCAGTGATCATTTTTATAATAAAGAAGTCACTTAAAATTGACTATCACTGACTATAACATTGATACTTGAGCTTTCACAGTTGGCCTGGAAGCCTTAAATATAGATATGGCAATGAATACTGTTGAATAAAGTAAAATAATTTTGCTTCCTATTAGTTTTCCTCTAAGTTAGATTTCACTTTGTTGAACTGTATAGTCCAGGGGGAGCTTTAGATTCTGTTGAGGTTCTATTCTACCTACACTCATGAAACTAAATTTCCGTAACATATATTTTTTCTCTTAGGAAACAGCCAATGTCATGGTGGATAATGTTCTTATTCCTGAAGATAATAACAAAGGTAAAACAAAAAAACCCCAAACACCCCAATGTCTTTCTTTTTCTTTTTAAATATTTTATTTATTTATTTTTAGAGAGAGGGAAGGGAAGGAAAAAGGAGAGAAACATCAATGTATGGTTGCCTCTCGCCCGCTCCTTACCAGGGACCTGGCCTGGATTCCAGGCATGTGCCTGGGAATCAAACCTGCAGCCCAATTTTCAGGCCAGTGCTTAATGCACTGGGCCACACCAGTCAGGGCCCCAATTTCTTTTAAATCATGCTTTCAATTAAGTCAATTGACATGGGGAAATATCTAATAAATATGTTAACTGTTCATTATATAGATTCAGGATAAATTTTTATAGATATCAAAATATTTGTAATTTTGACTGAACCAGTTCTGATGAATGGTATATTATTGTGATATTAAAAATCTATTGTCAGTAAATAAATAAATAAATAAAATAAAAATCTATTGGCCGATTGAGGTCTCAGGGGGATTTCTTATTTTCTGTTAATGAAATTTGCTATTTTCATGTATTACAGGAAAGCATTTTAAAATTATGTTGGGTTTTATATAGTTTTAGAAATTTGCATAGCATTTGCAGAGATTTTTAGAGATGTTCACAGAGCAATTTGGAAAGTCACTATGAAAATCCAGTTATTTTGTACATCAACTTTCCTACTTTATTAGCAAAAAGAATAATTTTGTTCTACCTAGCAATCATTTTGATAAACTTTAATGGCTATCTAAGGCTCCCTTGTCTAAAGTTTGCTATTAGATCTGATGCTTCTTTGGTTCAAAAGAGATTTAGAAAAATTTGGTCCTTTAAGAGTTAGCAATAAGGTCTAAATCAGATACTAAATGTGGAAATAAAGCCAAAATTGGGTTCTGAAGGATTTAGCCAAGCTTTTGCCTTTGAATTTGTATTTGATTATCTTTTCCGTGTTTCCTCCCCATCTCTGCTTTAGTGTCTTCCTAATTTACTCTGAGTAACTTAGGCATTTAGAATATTTGGCTTATGAAATATGTTTCCATCAGTCATTCTTAGAGAATATTGTTCAGTCACACATACCAAGATTTCCACTAATATCGGTGCATGTGTGTGTGTGTGTGTGTGTGTGTGTACTGGTTTTAGGTTTTTAGTTCTAATGACAAAGAAACAGCATCTTGGAAAAGTTCCCCCAGTGATAGTTTTTAGCTGATCTTTTAGGAAAGGTGATAGAATCACTGTGCTGTTATGGAAATATCTAAAAGGCCATTTGCTCTGCAATGTGGGGAGCAGAGAGCACATGGTGGGCCTCAGTTTGGTTCCTGGGCCTCAGCCAGTTGACTCTCCACTCGGCTCTGATGTGTTTCTAGTGTGGAAATCTTGGTTCTTTATAATGGTGGCACTGACTCTCAAGAAAAGAAAAGGTAACTGATCTTCTCCCTACTTTCCTTTCTAAGGAATGTTGCTTAAATCTTCTATCAGCTTTCAAAACATCATAGAAGGAAGCAACAACTTCCACAAAGACTTCCTAATTGGAGAAGGGGAGATTTTTGAGGTGTACAGAGTGGAGATCCAAAACCAAACCTATGCCATTAAGTTATTTAAACAGGTATGGAAAGAATTAATGTCACAAGATATTAATTCTATTTATTTGCTAATATTTCATATTAGAATGTATTATGTTTTCATCAAGATTGAGAATATGTGTGTTTGAAAATGAAATTTGAAATATGTGTGTTCATAAATAAAATAAGATATGTGACCTCTGGTGACTGGAGAAATGACTGAGAAATGAATACCTATCTTGCAGGAATGTGGAAGTTAAATCCTTCCCTTCCCCAGATATACTGCATGAGAAAGACTTTTCTGAAAAGCCTTGCATTGCCTTTGGGACTTTGCTTCAGATGGTCAGATTGTGCCTAACACTCCAGTGTTCACGTTTGTTTTTTTAGAGTCAGAAGTATCTCTTCTGGACAGCCTCACAGGCCAAGCCACAGGCTCACGTCCTGTGTTACCTTATAAATTCTCTTCTATCCCAGTTCAGAAGTGCGGGAAAGGGGAGGCTTCAAGCAGGAGCAGCAAGGCAATGATCAGAGCAGGAGACTGGGAGACAGCTGAGTGATGGCAGCCAGTAGAGCAGAAAGGGTGTGGAGGAATCCAACTCAGGAGCCAGGAAGAGATAAGTACACAGCACACGCCCAAGAGAGCTGTTCTTCCTGTCCTTCGCTGTCGGGCAACAATTAATAAACATTTTCTAAACTCCTGTATGGATTGAGTACTGAGCATGCAGAGATGAATAAGGCAGATCCTCAAGTTGCTCACAGCCTTACAGGTGGAAACAGCTGGATTAAAAAAAATTAAACTGTAGTGTGAGAAGTACTTTAGCAGAGATTTGCCCAAAAGATCCTGGGAGCCCATAAAATATAACCAGAGGGGGGTGCATCCAGCACCCAGAAGAGAGCCTGGCACCGAGTAACCACTCAGTAAACAGTTCTGCAGTTAACAAATGGGAAAGTGGATGAAAGGAAGCAACCTTTCAGCTGGATTTTGAAGGGTGAGTAGGATTTTGGCAGGCAGTGAGGGAGGGGGAGTATTTTTGCAGTGGAATAAATAGCAGGTGCAAAGGCCTGGAGGTGCAGGCATGAAAGCAGACATCTTACTCATGAATAACAGATCCTTCAGTGGAGTAGAGGTTAGTGTGGGGGTGGGAAGGTAGTGGCAGAAGATGATACTGGAAAGACAGGTTAAGTTCATGGATGATTTTTAAGAGGGAGAGTGAAAAGACTGGATTTGAGTTTTTTAAATAGAGCCTGGGTTACAGGTTAGAGGATGAGCTGGAAGTTGGCAGGAGCATTGGAGTAAAGGGGACAAGAGCTTTGACTGGAGGTGCAAAGACCTGGTAGAGGGATATTTCAGATGTGTAAGTTAAGAAATGGATAGGCCTTAAACCAACATTCTCAATCCCAATATTAGAATCACATTGGGAGCTTTTAAAAACTGAGCCCCTGAGTGTCTGGTTAGGTCAGGGAAATGGCAGTGGTGGCAGGCATCAGTATTTTTAAAGAGCTTCACAGGTGGTATATAGGTAGCCCGTGTTCAGAACCCATGCTGTGAGGTGGGGCATGGTGAGGAGAAGGTATATCTGAGAGGTGATATGAAATAGACCCAAAATAGTGATCTGGTAGATAGGGTTGGGGAAAGAAGGGAGAAGGAGGGAGGACCTAAAGTGAATCCTACTTTGCAGCTGAGATTACAGGGACTTAAAAAATATATATTAGCCTGATTTCTCCATTTCCTCAAATTGCATGTTGCTCGCTAATTCTAGACATCTCAAAACATTTGCTAAGATGAAACATCTAATAAAGAAATGGAACCATCTACTGGTAAAACCACTTAACAAAGAGAATGTGTCTACTCCTGAGGTAGCCTAACCAAAGCCTGCTTCTTGGGGCCATTGCATCTCTGGCCCCATTAGTACATTCTCTTTCCGTTGCGCCCCAGGCCACTTCCCCAAAGGCTCCATCCATGACCTTCCTCTTCTGCAGCTGCCACCAACTTACACTTTCTTTGGGGAGTTTTCTTTCCAGGACTCTGGCTTCAGGATGAGATGTCTTTGCCTCTAGACGTCCTTCCCTTCCTGACGCAGAGACAATTATTTCTTTGATTGCCTCTGCTCCCTCCAGTATGGTTTTGCTGACCCTCCTATGTGCAGTCACAGCACCATAGCATTATATCATGGTATTGATTTCCTCATCCTTGTTTCCCAATAGACTAGAGGGTTTTCTTTAAAGGGTTCTTACTTAACTTTGTATCCAGTGCCTCATTACAGAGGCTGATCCGTAGTAATTACTCAGTAAATATTTGTTGAACAATGAAATGAACGACAAACGACTTTTTAATGAATTTAGCTGCTGAGCTCTAGGAGTAAACAGACAGGAGGCGACAGAGGTACCAAGAACCAGAGACTGTGCGGTGTTACACACACTCATACAAACACGCCCCCACACACATTTATCAGAAAGATGAGATAATCCAGTGAAGCTTGAGCCACAGAGCATTTGAGTCTTTTTAAAAAGGAACATGGTTCTGTAAAATTGGACATTAACTTTAATAACCTTTTGTAGAGGGACTGAAGCAGGAAATGTACTAGATGTGTTGTTAAACAGGCTCCTCCAGCACCTGTTTGGTGCATCTGGGTGGGGATCCGAAATCGGGCATTTCTCACCAGCTCTGGGTGAAGCTTACATCCCTCGTGCACACACCACACTTTGAACGGCAGGAATGCCAGCCTAGCATGCACACAGAAATGAACCCCTTCATTTTTCAGATTAAGAAAACTATGACACTGAGGTTAAGGAACAAAAAGTCAACAAATAGTGAGTTGTAGAAGTAGGCCTGGGACCCAAACCACTTGGATCACACCACAATGTTTTTTAATATAAATTCTCATTAAAGTGTCTTTGAATATAATTTGTCAGCCTAGTTTATTGTTTCTGACTTCCTGAATTAACTTGGAAATTAGCTTCCAGAATTATTGGATTTCTCCCTCTATATTCCTGAGGACAGAGAGCTCTGAAAACTCTGCCCTGTCTAGCATTTGCAAATGATAGAAACTTACAGCTGATGGGACCTAGGAGCGCACTTAATTTAACTCTTTTATGTAAAAGTTAGGAACCTGAAATTCAGACATGCAGTGACATGGCTGTATGGTCACTGACAACAGTGTCAGGTACAGAGTATGCTCAGTATAATGTTATTGAATTCATTAATTTATTCAATAAATATTTGCCAGGCACAGGGCTAGCTTCTGAAGCATCTTTGAAATAAGAAGTTATATTTTTATTTGCTTCATAAGTCCATCTCTTCAAAATCAATACTGAGGTAAACTTGAACCATCATAATTCAAACAACCCAAGTCACAAATGCCAAACTAGTGAAATCAGTTCTAAGCAGAATACAGCAATCACAGACTGGGTTCTTTATGAGATCAAGGGGGGAGATTTCTAAATGTCATGAGATTTTCTCTGAATACATGTATTGTTAAATTTATGAAAAAGGTGAAAGAGTTTAAATATAAAATATGGCAACATAATACATTGCATGAAAAACTTTTAATTTAATAGCTTGGTTCTTAATCCATTTGGGGTTCATAGATGTTTGAAAATCTGATTAAATCTAAGGATCCTTTTCTCAGAAAAATGTGCATTTGCATTTATGCCAAAAAGCTCATCTGATTTTAGAAAGACTGTAGGACTTAGGCTAAGAATTCTAGAGCTAGAGATCCTTTCCTTGATTTTTTTTCTTGTTTGTCTGTGTGATATTTAGGAAAAACAAATGCAGTGTAAGAAACAATGGAAGAGGTTTTTATCTGAGCTCGAAGTTCTACTACTGTAAGTATATTTTGCCTGGAATTTTTTCCCTTTGTGCCTGGTCTTCATCTTTTTGTTCATCTTTGATTCTACAGCACAAAGCTTGGCATGGTTGACATTTAATAAATGTGATATTAGAACTTTGGGTAAATATCTGACATTTATTTTAGTATATTTCTTAGAATACATTTTAAAATAGGCCATTTACATAATTCACTTGAATATTTTAACAAGAAACTGTCAAGAGGAAGTAGGTTAAATCATGTGTGACTAACATGGTTGAGTATAAAATAATTCTTAGAACTTTAGAATTGTATATATTTTACCATTTCCTCCTTCCTTAGAGACTTTCCAGTCAAGAAACTGTTTTGTCCACATAACCACCCTCAAGAGAAGAGTTCTAGACAAAGAAATCGAGCGTTTGATGCACATATTGTTTTCTGGGAATTTGTTTGTGAGCCTGAGAGTCCTCGGGGACAAACTAAAACTACTTCATTTTCATACATATTCATATATGCAGCTGTGCAGCCTGCCTCACCCAAGGCCCCTAACCCTAAAGAGTTCACTCATCACCCTTCACAAAGAGAGAATGTTCTTTTCCAATGTTTTCTAAACCAATATGTGACTGGGGGGAGGGGTACCAATCCTTCTGCTTTTATATCCAGGCCCAGAAGTCAAAATGTTAGAGGCTAATTCTAAAAACATAATATATATCATTTAGTCAATGGAAAACTGAAACCAAAATTGCAATAAAGTTTTTATATTTAAGCTGTATTTATTTGCTTATGAATAAGTTGAAACATTTCAGAATTCCAAAAGTGCAAAAGGATAAACAAGAAAATAATTTCTTCCACTATTATCATCCAGCCGCCCAGCTAATTTTCCCAAAGGCAATCGCGTTGTTAGAGTCGCGTACACCTTTCCGGAGAGAGTTTCTGTGTAAGCGTTCGTGTATTTAGTCTTATGTTTTCCCTCTTCTCCCACAAGAGGTCGCACACTTGGCTCATTTTGCTCGTTTTAGTATTCCATTGTGTGCTCCGCTGTAATTTAATTAAACATTCCTTTACTGATAGGGTTTTATTTTATTTTTTATTAAAAAATATGGTGCAACAAAAAACAGCATATGAAATATGCTATTTCATACCTGTTTGAATATATCTAAGATAAATTTACATAAATAAAATTATAGGATCAAATGGTGATATGTATGACATATTACCAAATTGTCCTTCACTAGAAGTTATACCAATTTATACTTATGCCAGTCATATGTAAGAGTGCCTGGTTCCCCATTCTTGCCAACATAGCATTTATTCTCTTTTGAAAATTTTTTTTATTTATTTACTCTTAGAGAGAGGGGAAGGGAGGGAGAAAGAGAGGGAGAGGAATATCAATGTGTAGTTGTCTCCAGTGAGCCCCCCACTGGGGACCTGGCCCACAACCCAGGCATGTGCCCTGACTGGGAATCATACTGGCAACCCTTTGGTTCACAGGCCAGTGCTCAATCCACCAAGCCACACCAGCCAGGGCATAGCATTTATTCTTAACTTCTAATTTTTGCCAGTGTGCTAGGTGGAAATAGTTTCTCAGAGTAGTTTAAATTTCTTTTTATATTATGAGTGAATCTTTTTGTATGTTAAGAGATATGAAATATAATCTTTTTCTCCATTTTTTATTGGACTGTTGTGTACTTTTCTTAATGGTTTATAAGAGCATTTTATATATTAGAGAAAATTACTCCTGTTTTATGTTATGAGATACAAGTAATTTTATGTCATATGTCTTTGCTTATTCTAGTTTTTGCCATGAGGAAATGGTTTTCATGTAGTTCAATTTAATATTTTCGACTATATTTTCTTTTATAAACTCTGGGTTTTATATCAAAGTTTAAAAGGCCTCCCCCACTGATAGTTATAAAATAATATTACCATTTTTTCAAGTACTTTAATGATTTCATTTTTTACATTCATGTATCTGATTCATTTGAATTTATTCTGGTAAGGTATTTATACATTAATTTAGAGAGAATTAACAACTCTATGATGTTGAATATTCCTCATGTGCCATCATTATTATTTATATTGCTAATATTTATTCACCAAGAACTTTACATGAATTAATTCTTTAATCCTATGTGGAAATCATAGGATTACCTATGTGGTAATGAATTTACCTATGAGGTAAGTACTGCTATTATCCCTATTTTACAGATGAAGAAATAGAGATAGATCCTATCTTTTTTTTTTTTTTACAAGATCCAACTTATTTCCTAAATCATCTTCAATCTCTCTGGTCTCGGAGATTTACTTATAAATAAGTCAGATGCAGCTTTCACCTTTCAGAACACAGTATGTGAGATGTTTGGAGTGGGATTAGCAGAGAATCGCATAAATAAATGGGCAGTTTCAGTAAGTGAAGCGCAGAACCCTGAAGAAACAGGAAATGGCACCTTGGGGGTGGGGATGAGCCACAGAGTAAGCTTCTTGGAAAAAGTAACATCTAAACTGAGACCTGAGGATGAGTTTTTTGGTTTTTATTTGTTTAATATCAAGGGAACTGCTTAATCCTTGTGCCTTGAATAGAGTTGGAAGCATCTAAGAATTTGGCTTCTGATTCTTTTTTTCCCTTCTTCTTCAAGAAAAGAGAAAAGACCTAATCATTTCCAAGGATTTGGCTAAAGGTTTAAACTTTAACTTAATTTTTCTAAGAATCTCAGGAAGTAGGTGTTTTACCCACTTCCATAGATTGGCTGGCTTAAACAACAGAAATTTGCTTCTCACAGTTCTGGAGTCTGAGATGGCCAAGATCAAGGCAGATTTGATTCCTGTGAGGACTCTTCCTGGCTTGCAGAGGACTGCCTTCTTGTTTGGTCCTCAAGTGGTGAAGAGAGGGAGCAAACTCTTTGCTGTTTCTCCTCGTAAAGGCACCAATTCCATTATGAAGACTCCGCCCTCATGGCCTCATCTAACCCTAATTACCTCCCAAAGGCCTTATTATGAAACATTATCCCACTGGGGGCTATGCTGTCAACATATGGATGGGGCGGGGCATAATTCAAATCGTAGAGACCAGGTAACTTGTTCAAGTTTACACAGCCGATAAAAGGAAAACCAGAGACTCAGACCCAGGATTGTTTGTTGTTCGAGTCTGTCTGCTCCGTCACAATGTGCCAGGTTGCATCATGTTTTATCTGCAGGGGCACTCAAAAATATTTATTGAATTTATTTCAAAAGGTATCTGACCTGCTCATCTTCAGAGCTATATAATCCAAAATCCCATCAACTTAAAACTTTTTAGTGAAAGGATGGGTGAGATGGATCCACAGAATTCAAAACAGCAATCATTTCCTATAACATTTCCGTGTTCCATGCTTTGATAACTTCCAAAGTAATCATTTTTCTGGTAGATCAGTAATCATTAAAAATAGGCAAATGGTCATTCCTGCTCTGTGAGGGAGAGAGCAGAGCCTTGTCTGTGTCTACACAAGGTCTTCTATCAACTGCTTATCAAAAGATTTCCAGTTCAGTAAATTATTTTAAACTGCCAGAGAATCAGCCAACTAGTGGCATAGATCAGCTGTTTAAGCAGCTAAATATACCCACTGGGGTCCTTTTCAGTCCATTGCTTTGCATTTTATGGATACGGTCAGTATCATAGTAAGTGCAGTGATCTCGTGTCACAGTTTTTCACATATTTAACAATAAAAGTTTCTCTGTGTGTTTGTGTTTGTGTGTATGTTTGCGTTCACATACACACACACACCCTTTCCTGAGGAAGGAGGAATAGGACTACAAGGGAGATTAGATTAGATGATAGATAGATATCTCCCTATAGATAGATATCTATATATGTGTGTGATTTATACCAAAGTTTTGCTATTGAAGAAACAAATAATAGGTCTTTATAAATAGAACCATTTTTTAAAAAACAGCTTTATTTATTTGAATATCTCCAAGCATGCCTACAACACAGTATACATATTCACCAATAACTGATGAATCGAACTGAATTCACAGTATGCGTGAATTTCACATGTTTTGTGTTTCATCATTGTTACCTGGGTTCCATTGGTTTTCACAGTTATGACACATGCATTCAAGAAATACAGCCATTAAGGAAAGGAGCCTGAGGCATGTATGTTACACTGACACAGAATTCCATGATTCGAAAGCCAGTGATACGGTTTTCATCCTCTGACTTTACTAGTCACATGGATTTTAGATAACAATACAATCTTTGTGAAGACTTTGGTTATCTCTTTTACCTGCGTGACCGATGCCTGGTACAGTACCTACATACGAGCTCTCAACAAATGTGAATGAAAACAAGTCTTTTGTATTCTTCTATTTTGGTGACTTACATGTATTTACCTGAAGCAATGACATGGATAGTTTCAGTTACATTATCTTTATTTAATAAATAAGTTATATTAGGTTTATGCTGCTAAAAATAAGTTAATATGGAATATTGTTGTCTATTTGTTGTAAAATTCCCAGCACCCCAAATCTTAAGAACGCTTCACTTTCTTAAATTTTCTCTCCTATATTTGGATATTTTCTATGTATTTGCATGGTCACAGTTAATCACAGAGGGGCCCACATTTGTTAGAACACTTTTGACCAATTTGGAAAGCAAATCTGTGCCATATATTCAATGAAATTATTCTTCCCTTGGCCAAATTTATGTTCTGCTTAGACCTACCCCCCATCCCCAAACCAGAGTGTTGTTTATTTCCTATTTGAATAAGCAATTTGATGGATTTAAATATCTTTTGTTTCAAGATATCAACATCCAAACATCCTGGAATTGGCTGCATATTTTACGGAGAATGAGAAGTTCTGCCTGGTTTATCCATATATGAGAAACGGATCACTTTTTGACAGATTACACTGTGTAGTAAGTAATTTCTATTACTATGCTTGCTACTTTGATTCCTTGAAGCCCGTGGGGAGCTAGCTGCTGAAACCTTCCTTCCGCCAGAGCTGGGAGGTCAGTGTGCGTGTTCAGATGAGGGGACAGCCCACGATGGGTCTCCTGAAGAGGCAGAGGACTTCTCCATGAATTAATTTCTTACTCTTAGAAGGTAGAATAAATACCTGAGTTACTGTGCGTTGTGCAATATGGTGGCCAAAGAATTTATTGGGTCCTTACTCCTTATTGATTCTATATCTCAAATGGATGTACATCAACTACCCTTATTTCTCAGATAATTTTTGTGTCACTACCAAGGTTCCACCCTTCAATACAAAGAATAGACATAAAAATGATACAGACTCCTTAAAGAGAAGGAGGCTGAACAAATGCCACGATTTCTCATATGATGTTTTTGAAATGTAAATTTAAAAATTGTTTCAAATTGGTTAAGTTTCATTTAAGATGTGAATAAAACCAGGTAATTCTCAATTCCCCACACTATTATTATGCCACAAATATTTTATTTAATGAACTTTTAAACATAATTACTTTATTATCCATATTTCAAGTAAGCTAAAATTAACATTATGAGGTATTTTCATTGGTTACAAAGGCCTAGAGCCACCACCGGGAGTGGAGGAAAGACTGTCTTGAATTAAAAATGTGTCATGGTAACCACAGCACCCTTCACCATCAGCTTCTACTCCGACAGACTTCTGTGTAAGGAAATTGCACACAGTTTTTACTCAGAAAATCCAACTAAACCAACCACTGTCATCTTTTTAGGGTAACACAGCCCCACTCTCTTGGCACACTCGAATCAGTGTATTAATAGGAACAGCCAAGGCCATTCAGTACCTGCACAACGCTCACCCGTGCTCGGTCATCTGTGGCAGTGTATCAAGGTAAAGTGCCCGGAGCTTTGGGTTTCACCCGAAAGCCCCTCCCGTCACTGCATGTGGGTCAGACTTCATGCTAGTTTCTGTCTATAGTCCCTGGCATGTATGTGTTTATTAAAAATCCTCATCTAGGTATTTCAAATCTTACCTTTTTATTCATGAAAACGTATCTACCAAATTAAAAGCTACTTTTATGCTGCCTAAGGGAGAGTTTATATTACCTTTGAGAATTATTAATGAAATATGTAAGACAGTTTCATGCACTCTATTAATTATATGGGATAGCAAACTAAGAACTGAACCTGTATTAATCTCACTTTAAAAAATGAGGTCAAAGGAAGGGTTAAGTGACTTACTTATACAGGGACTCCAAGCAAGATGTTAATGACAACTAAAATTCTTTGTGCTTGAGTCTGCTGTGTCTTGCTGATTCCACTGAGCTGGCCACCTCGTAGCTGCATGTATTCATATGTGACAAGCTGAGCAGCAACTCCCGTCTTCTTTTTAAGATGTGAGAAAATTAGGAGCAATACTTTCCATCTTTCTCCTTCTTCAGTGGACATAGGTATCATTCAGAGAGTAGACAGCCTGACCAAAACCTCCTTGGTGAGTTTTTCCTATGTGCCCTTCATCTTGAACTTGTCCAAAATAGCTAAATATGCCACTGCTGGACAGCAGGGAAGACTCCATTTAAAAGGCTGCTCCCTCTTCTGAACCATCTCCTAGTACCTTAAAAAAAAACTTGGCATGCTTTTGAGTTGACAAAAGAGGGATGGATTGCTTACTTCTTTGATTTGCTAGTGAAATGAACTCCATGTGAAAAGACTAGATTTTCATTTAGTCCTAGAGGATTCGGAGTTACCACCCACAGATGTCTGCTCCTGTAGCAACGTGGTAATTCATCCACTGCTAATGACCCCATAAATCAGCCTAAAGTTGGTTGCACCCTCACTGGCACCTGAGACATGGACAGACAGTGGAGGTCTCAGAGGTCGGTGATGTTGGTTATTAGGTTTGGTTCCAAAGGGCTGAGGTGGCCACCCTCAACCTAAAACCACCCTCTTTCTACCCAGGTCTCACCAGCTCTGCCCAGCAGGCGCTCAAATATGTTTAACTGAGTAAATAAGTAAAAAAATTAAATATTTAGAATTTTTCTGTACATATTCTTCCCTTGGCTTCAGCTTAAAGTGAACATGAGTTTATTTTCAATCTCAAGCAGCAATACATGAATTTAATTAATTTTTTTAGCCTAATGTGGCTAAGTTGATCAAATTCTGTCCTGAAAGCACAGCTTGATAGGAAAAACGGGTGAGAAGAAAAATAGTGTCAGAACATCGGAGCGGAGGGATACACATCCAGACTCCTTCCAAGCTACAAGGTTTCCCAACACTGACGCTGAGTGAGGAGACTTGGATGTGCCCCTCCAGCATCTCACTCCTGGTTTAGGTTAGAGCACGGACCGTGGACCCCAATTTCTGCTTTCCCGCTAATGTTTGGTGCCTTCAGGCAGGTTCCCAGGAAACAGGCTCAGAGGCAGAGATTTGCGTGCAGGAGATTTTTTAAGGGTGTGCTCTCAGCAACAGCAAATGTCAGGGAGGAAAGGAGCAAGGCCCAATTGTGCTGTTTGAGAAGCTGGGCTGGGAGACTATCATAGAGGCCTTGGCCGATGCCATGGACCTTCTGTCATTGCGGTGACCCTTGAAAAATATTCTAAAGTGAGGCAAGGCACTCAGGTTTTAGTACCCCTTTATCTGATTGGCCCTGAGAGGGGCTGTAACTTGGCCAAGATGGCTGCCAGGTGAGGGCTTCTCTGTGAGCCATCAGCAGCCCCCATCCCTGATTGGGGAGCGACTGCCTCCCTGGATTTTGAAGGAGGAACCTGGGCCACCCCACTGCAGCCACCAGTTTTGCAGGAAGGATCGACCAGACACTGCTCTGCAAAATGGGACCCAGTGATTCTTTCTCATGCACTTTCCTTCCCGCCTCTTTTCATCTTTCCTGGTAGTTCAGTAGAAGATGACTTTCTGCTTAAAATGCGATTCTGAGCAAAGTGCTTAACTTATCTAAACCTCAGGTTTTTTTCTTCTGCAAAATGCTAATAAGGATAATGGCTTCTATCTTAGGGTAAAATGACAAGGTATGAATGGCACCTGGCAAAGAGTACACACTCATCAAATGGAAGCTCCTGTTACAATTGGTCAAGAAGTGGTAGGAACAGCAGTGGAAGAGGCTGACAGATGTGATAGCTAATCAGCCCTTTTACTTCTCCGTTTTTTACTCACTGGCTTCATTCAGGATTCTATAGCCAAAATACTATAAAGTGGGTGGCTAATAAACAACACGCATTTGTTTCTCACAGTTCTCAAGGCTGGGAGGTCCAGTGTCATGATGCTGGCCTGCTCCTTGTCTGTGAGGTCTCACTTTCTGTTCACAGCCAGCCAGCCATCTTTTCCCTGTGTCTTCACCTGGGTGAAGGGGCAAGGGATCTCTCTGTGGCCTCTTTTTAAGGCACAAATCTCTTCTCCGATGGCTCTACTCTCACAACCTAATCAATTCCCAAAGGCCTGCCTCCTAATTCATACAGTGTCAACATATGAATTTGGGAGACACATCCAGTTCATAGCACTTTCCCTCCATCGTAAATTTATTGTGTTTGAAAGTGAACCCACAAACTAAGATCTATTTTAAGAAAAATCACTTCCATGCTAACTGACATATTGAACATTTTTTAAAAATAGGCATTTTATTTTTAATTTTATTTACTGATTTGAGAAAGAGAGACAATTTGTTGTTCCACTTATTTAGGCATTCATTGGTTGATTCTTGTATGTGCCCTGGCCAGAGATAAAATCCATAACCTTGGGACATCAGGACAACACTCTAACCAACTGAGCTACCCAGTCAAGTCATACATTTATTTCAGCTCACAAATATTTGTGGAATATCTGTTGCATGCAGACCATTGTATTAGATCACAGAGGGGAAGACAGTGATCATAGTCTTGTCTTTGAAGGTTCGACCTGGTGATCAGAGAGATAACACAAACACAATATACAAAATGCAACACTACATCCAATGCCTCATTGGTCTGAAAAGGCTTTTCTTCTTTTTTAAAAAATATATTTTAATGTACATATGATGTGCTTTGGTGTGTTCCTCCTTCGGTCCAACTTCTTTTGTACTCTCTGAGCTTCCTGGACTTCCTGGAAGTCTATTTTCTTTGCTAGATGGGGGAAGTTGTCCTTTATTACTTGTTCAAATAAGTTTTTCACTTGTTGCTCTTCCTCTTCCCCTTCTGGTACCCCTATAATTTGGATGTTGGAACATTTAAAGATGTCCTGGAGGTTCCTAAGTCTCTCCTCATTTTTTTGAATTTTTGTTTCTTCATTTTTTTTCTGTGCGGTTTCTTCATTCTTTTCTTCTGGTCCACTCCATTGATCTGAGTTCCAGTTTCCTTCCCATCCCTATTGGTTCCCTGTGCATTTCTCTTCATTTCACTTAGTGTAGCCTTCATTTTTTCATCTAATTTGCAACCAAAATCAGCCAGTTCTGTGAGCATCCTGATCACCAGTGTTTTGAACTGTGCATCTGATAGGTTGGCTATCTCTTGGTTGCTTAATTGTATTATTTCTGGAGCTTTGATCTGTTCTTCCATTTGGGCCATTTTTTTGTCTTGTTGTGCCTCTTACGTATGAAGGGCGGAGCCTTAGGTGTTCACCAGGGCAGGGCAACCCAGTTGCTGAGCTGTGACATTATATGTGGGGGCAGGGTCTGAGAGGGAACAGTGGCACTTGCTCTGCTCTCTGTAGGATCTCAGTCCCCTCTGCCACTTCCCCCAAGCAAACTGGGCCTTTCTGGGCTGATTCTCATGTGGGTGGGCTTGTATACATTCTAGGACCCTGTGGGTCTCTCCAAATGAACTCTCCTGTGAGGCTGGGAGTTTCTCCCTGCACCTCAACTCCCACAGGTGTTTTCAATCAGCGTTTTAAGGCTTTATTTCCATGTGCTGGGACCCTGGGTTGCATGATCTGTCTCACTCCCCAGTTTCTCCTGGTTTATCTGCACACGAATGTGGGACCGCCCAGTCAGGCACCTTGTGCACAGTGCCTCGCTTTACAATTGCCACCTCACTGGGTCTGCCCATTGCCACCTTGTGCCTGGGGTCTGCCAGCTGCCACCTGCATACCTGGGGTGCCTTTTGCACATGTTACCACTGCTTTTTGTGCTGCAACCCCTCTCTGTCCCGCTGCCCAACTGTGCCCTGCTTCCCAGTCTGGATGAATGTATCTATTTTATCTTCTTGGTTGTCCAACTTCTATACAGTTCAATTTTCTGTGAGTTCTGGTTGTTATTTTGTTTCTAAATTGTTGTTGTCAAAGGGGGGAGAAGGTACAGAAAATAAGTAGCATAGATGGTAGGTAGAAAATAGATAGGGTGGAGGGCAGGAATAGTAGGGGAAATATAGAATCTAAAGAACTTGAGACACGTCGTCATAAACTAAAGGGGGAGAATGGTGGGGGAGGGGGTGTGCAGGGTGGAGGGGAATGAAGGGGGAAATAGAACAACTAAAATATAATCAATAAAATCTATATTTAAAATGCGAAACAAAAGTAAATAAATAAATAAATTGTTGTTGTCCTTATTTTGGTTATGCGAAGAGGCACAGTGTGTCTACCAACACCTCCATCTTGTCCGGAAGTCTCCCAGTAGAGCTACTTTTCTTCTAATTAGGTAGTTGCAAGCCAAGTCTTTGAGGAGATAGGTCATGGCAGTGGATTAATTGAAAGAATGGAAGAGAATATTCCTGATAGAAGTAATATGTTCAAGGGAACAGAGTGAAGAATTGCCAAGCATATAATGATAGCAAGACATATTGATTGACTGGAATGGAAAGGGTAAGTTCGGAATAAAGAAAGATAAGACTAGAGAGAGGAGTAAGAAGTGTGGTCAGGGTTTGGATAGAGGCTTGAGTATTAATGAGGCTGAGGACTTAGATTTGATGAGCA